CTCAAAATGGTAGAACATACTAGCCTTGTGCAAAAGAACTCAGAGATGGCACCCCTGCCCTGAGTTCATGCCCTACTACCAACCATATTGGCATATTTCTTGCTAACTTTTTGTTTATCTTAGCCTGGAACCAGGTTCTTCCTGACCTTTCTTTCCCAAGTATCTAGGATTATGATCATGTACCATCACTGCCAGTTTCTTCCTGGATTCTTAATAAGCTTGATTTTTAAAAGCAAGGATCTTTTGACACTGAACTAAGAGAATATAAATCAATGTGTACTCATTAGTTGTATTAGAATCACTTTTAAAACATTAGAAAAGGATAGTCTTCAGCCCTAGTATGTGTAGGTTATATATTTACATAGATAAGAAACAAGCTTATTCGCTTGTTTTTTTTTTGTTGTTGTTGTTTTTTCTGTCAGTCATGGGGCTTGAACTCTGGGCCTTGGCGCTGTTCCTGACAGAGCTCTTCAGCTCAAGGCTAGCACTCTGCCTCTTGAGCCACAGCACCACTTTATTTTATTGGAGATAAGAGTCATTGCTGCCTGGGCTGGTTTTGAACCGTGATCCTTCAATCTCAGCCTCTTGACTAGCTAGTATTACATGTGTGAGCCACTCGCGCCAGCTAGATGATTAGCTTTGTTGGCCTGTTTTTGCCCAAATTGGATAAAAAGCAACTTGCCCTTTTAGACAAACCCTGATAGTGTATATCAGTTGGGAAGCTGTAAGACTTTTGAGTAGATTTCAACCCACCTTTTTAACTCCCATAAAACAAATTCTTTGCATTTCTCATAGATTCTTACATAAGGGTCATATATAGGAATTTTATCTGATTAAATTCTATTCTATAACAGTAATGAATAGTACCAAATCTAGCAATCCTTCCAAGAGAATACATCTGGAATTATACTCTTACTTCATTGGTTATGTATGATCCTGTTGTATTCCTAAAAATGCATTAGTAAATAGTAAATTAGTAAAAGTAAATAGTTCCATTGTGGAGTTTGTCTTTTATTTGGAATTTCCCCATTCACCTAGCTATTGAGGATCAAATCTAGGGCCCTGTGCTAGACCAATACTTTACCACTGGATTACATCCTCAGCCTTAAAGAACAGATTTTTAAATTAAAACGTTAGGATTCATATGTAAATAGCCATAGTATAATGTTAAGTATCAGCTTACTTGTGAGATCCAAATGTTGATATTACTAATATTACTAATTGGATAAGATAATATTTATAGTAGAACTTGAAGGATGGTGGGAGGGGGAACATTTATATCTGCTTAATTTGGTGAAAATGGGTAAAAGTACCTAAACTGAAAGTGGTTAAAATTAAGTAATTTTCTCCATGTCAGGCCCTCTTATACATGTTTTATATCTCAGGCACTGGGTGAGATAGATGAATAAATAGATAAAATAGATAAATAAAAATACTAATGGATGTTTTTGTTCTGTCAGTTATGGGGTCTTAACTCAGGGCCTGACCGGCTGTCCCTGAACTATTTTGCTCAAGGCTACTGCTCTTACCACACTGAGCCACAGTGCCACTTCCAGATACTGGTGTTTTTAATGTGATAGAGTAATAACAATTACTTTAAAAGGTGGAAGGGCTCAAATGGTAGAGCACCTGCCTAGCAAGTGAGAGGTCCTTTAGTTCAACTGCCAGTCCAAGAAATATTTGGGCAAATGGATAGACAGGCATTATCTTTTCTTTTTAAATGATTTTTATTGTGAAAATACTGTACAGAGGCGTTAACAGTTACATGAGCAAGATAATGAGTACATTTCTTATCAAGAATTGTTGCCTCCTCCTTTGTTTTTCCCCTACCATCCCTTCTCTCCCATCTCCACAACTATACTCTCCACTCACACCCCACACCCTCTCCCCTGCCTAAATTGTAAAGTTCGTTTTTCAATATAGTGTCTTGTACATCTCGTTACAATGGGTCATCCTGTATCCCTGTGTAAGCATTTTGTTTTTTCCCTTCCCCTCCCCAAATTATGCTGATATCAAATATAGTGAAAACTGGGGTTATACCATGGGGGAGAAACATACAAAGCAACGACAACAACAAAAAATCACATGGTACCTTATAAATACGTTAGAAACAATAGCAAGAAAGAAAAAACCACCTGTGTCTCTATCTTGGGGTTCATTTCACTTAACTTCTTTTTTTTCTCTTTTTTGGACGGTCGTGGGGCTTGAACTCTGGGCTTGGATGCTGTCCCTGTGCTCTTCAGCTCAAGGATGGCACTCTACTGCTTGAGCCACAGCACCACTTCCAGTTTTCTAGTGGTTTATTGGAGATAAGAGTCTCAAGGAGTTTCCTGCCCGGGCTGGCTTTGAACCGCCATCCTCAGATCTCAGCCTCCTGAGTAGCTAGAATTTGAGGTGTGAGCCACCAGGCCTGGCCAACTTCATTTTATCTGGTCATATGTACATAGCTTTTGACCTTTTCTATTTCCCAGACATATACTAGTTATTGTGAATAAGGGAAACTATGGGACCTATGTTTCTTTGGGCCTGGCTTACTTCACTTAATACAATTTTTTCCAAGTCTTTCTTTTCCTAACAAATGGGGCGATGTCATTCTTTCTGATGGAGGCATAGAATTCCATTTTACACACACACACACACACACACACAAAACTTTCTTGATCCGTTCATCTACTGAGGGGCATCTGGGTTGGTTCCATATCTTAGCTATGGTAAATAATGCTCAGATAAACATAGTTGTGCTGGTAGCTTTAGTATGGTCTTGCTTGTGATCATTTGGGTAAACGCCTAAAAGTGGGATTGCTGGTTCATAGGGGAGCTCTATGTGGAGTCTTTTGAGGAACCTCCATACTGCTTTCCAAAGTGGTTGAACAAGTTTACACTCCCACCAACAATGAAGTAGAGTTCCCTTCTGGCCACATCCCCTCCAGGGGCATCTGTTGTTATTAGAGTTCTTGATTATAGCCATTCTTACTGGAGTGAGGTGGAATCTCAATGTTGTTTTGATTTGCATTTCTTTTATGGCTAGAGAAGTTGAGCATTTCTTTATGTGTCTGCTTGGCCATTCTTATTTCCTCTTCAGAGAAGACTCTTTAAGTCCTTAGCCTACTTATTTATGGGGCAGTAGTTTCTTTGAGGATTTCTTGTTGGGGATTTAATTTTTTGAGTTCCAAATATATTTTAGATATGAGACCTGTAAGGTATATTAAATAAGTAGGTTTCATTAGGTAGCCAATGAGGAGAACATCACATGCTATTCAGGCAGGAAAAGAAGTTTATTTACCAAACTGTTGCCCCCACCATGCATGGTGGAGAAGCATGGCTGTAAAGGAAAGGAGGTGGGAAATTGGGCAACCCACTCTTGGGCCAGGACTTATCTAGACCAGGGACAGGAGGAGGTGTGGCCACACTGGATCTGGATGTGACCTCAGGGTCTAGGACCCTCCTGAGGTCAGATGGGAGGCACATGACCAGAGGGGTGGCCCAGGATGTCACCTAGCAGGAGGGAAAGATGACTACTTCCAGGTCTGCCAGTTACCTAGTTAACAGATACTGTGCAGAAACTTAGCCAAGAGGGAGGGAGGTGTCCCTGTTCAGACCTTACAAGACCCCTAACCGTTGTATGGCTAGTGAAGATCTTCTCCTAATCTGTGGGCTTTCTATTGATCTTGCTAGTTATGTCCTTTGCCATGCAGAAGTTCTGCAGTTTCATGCAATCCCACTTGTCCAACCTTTCTTTGATTTGTTGTGTTTTGGGTCTCTCTTAAAAAAATTTCAGCCTGTGCCAAGGAGACCTAGGGTTTCTCCTATTCTGTCCTGTAATGTTTTCAGGGTGTCTTCTTTGACTCTGAGTTCTTTGATCCATTTGGAGTTGATTCTGGTGCAGCAGGTTATGTAAGGATCTAGCTTTAGTTTTCTACAGGTGATTAACCAATTTTGCCAACAGCATTTACTGAAGAGGCTGGACAGGCATTCTCAATAGGATAGCAAGAACAAAATCCCTGAAATACCTGGTCAAAGAATAGAATCTATCATACTGCTTAGCACAAAGCAATTTTTTTTAATTCCTACTTACTGTAAGACTATTGTTTACAAAATGTTGCACTTTCAAGTATTGAAAATTGCAATGAGCTGTAATTTCTAAAGGTTGTATATACTAATAATATGTAGTCTTACAGGTTAAAACTGAGCAATTAACATATTTACTGATTTAAAATAACAATTTTTCTATAGTACTTAGAACATTTTTTAAATCAAAATGGCTAATTTAGTCTAGAAAGCTTGATTTCTCAGTTGGTAACATGCACTGTGAATTGCATGTTGTATGTATTGATGTTAGTTCCTTTTCTTAAAGTGACATTTATTTTTCTCATTTTCAAGAAAATTTCAGTCAGGAGTCAAAAGTTATACTCTAGTTTCTCATTGAAGTAAAATTAATTTAGTGGAAAACTGGCTAGTATAATTTCCAATTCAGTTGCACAGATAATTTTCTAAAGACAACTTTTGTTTTCTATATAAGTGCTCTAATGTGTATTTTTATCTTATTACATAATTTTATTAAAAAGGCATGTATTTAAGAGTCAAGATTCGGCTACTCATGCAATTTTATCACTGTTGCTTTTGCATCTTCAAATGCAATGAAAAAAAAGGTGAAAATAACATCTTAGTGTTATTTTGAAATAGCTTTATTTCCTCTCTGAAAGGATCTTGCACCCATACTCAACTACATATTATGAATTATTGCTATTGTTGGCATATAATTATAATATTTTGATTATTTTCATTTTAATGTATTTTTGTTTTTGTAATTGTGTTGCCATAAAAAGTAGTCATGTAGTAGTACTGTTGTATATGTATCAAAGAAAAGACTTTGGTCTTACAACATAATAGCTGAAGATTTACAGAAATTGTATATATTATAAAATCTATTAAGTAAGAATTTTATTATTTGGACTGTTGGTACAATTATTTTACAGTTATGCTTCATGTTTTGTTTTTAGGCTTGCATTGATGACAATGTTGACATGGTCAAGTTTTTGGTAGAAAATGGAGCAAATATTAATCAGCCTGATAATGAAGGCTGGATACCACTACATGCAGCTGCTTCCTGTGGATATCTCGATATTGCAGAGTAAGCCAGTTCTGTATTTTAGTTTTATTCTATTGCCAGCTTGTCAGTGCCTCTGTTTTCTCATCCATAATATTAAAAATGGCATTCACTGTATTAACTTGTATATTCTTTGTTAAAACACATTGACTGTACTGTGTTGCTAAGTTCCCTTCTGTTTTTACCAGTTGAGTTAGATCGTGAGCTTTCCAAATGTTAGTTGTATGTATTCTCAGCCTTTTTAATGCTTGTCAGCATTACAAAATACAGTTGGGTATCTCCAAACAAATGAATTATACATGTTTTTTTTCCTTGTGCTATAATAAGTTGAATACTTTGGAAAGATCCAAAGGCAAGGATTACTAAAAGTATAATTGGTATTTAATTATATGTGGATGAGACAACTGAAAGATTAGAAGGAAAAAAAACCCAGTATTATATATGCTTCTCTTTAGACATTTCAGTCTTAGATAAAGAACTATGATTCTGTTTGCATAAGAAAAGCAGCATGTATTTCTAGACATTTGGAGACATGATCCAAGGAAAGAGTCTGTTCTTCACTAAAGAATGGGTAAATTAATGTCTTTTATGTTGAAGTAAATGTGTTTACATATATGTATTATGTTTTATGATTCCCAATATTTTCTTCATTTTTGGGGGTCAGTTATGGGGCTTGAAGTCAAGGGCTTGGACACTGTTACTGAGCTTTTGTGTTCAAAGCTAGTGTTCTCCCACTCTGAGCCACAGTGCCACTTCTGGTTTTGGGGTGGTTAATTGGAGGTAAGAGTCTAATGGGGACTCTTCTGCTCAGACTGACTTTAAACTGTGATCCTTAGATCTCAACCTCCTTGAGTAGCTAGGATTACAGGTGTGAGTGCCCAGATAGTGTCCAGCTAATGATTCCCTATTTGAATCAGCCTTTTGGTTAAGCAAGCAAACTAGTCTTGACCACAATTGAATAAACTCATGAATAAGCTTCTTAGGAACTATAGTTTTATAGAGAGAAAGCATTAGAATATGGAGAGAGATGTTGCATGAAACTATTATATGTGATATATGTGTATTATATAATATAGATAATATAATACGTATATAATATATATAATCCTAGCAACACTGAAGACAATGGGAGAATAATGACTGACTGAGGCTGGCCCTGAAAAAAGACAAAGGCTCTATCTAGAACAATAACTTAAAGCAAAAAGGGTTGTAAGAATTGCTCAAGTGGTAGATTACAAGAGGTCCTGAATTCACACTCCTGTAACACCAAAAAAAAAGTTAGTGTGTGGCAACAGACATTTAGATTCACTCACTGCTGTGGGCAAGAATAGAGAAAAAACTAGAAAAATCTAATAACTGAACCTTGAATGTTTTCTTTAAGAAAAGAATTTACTTCTTCTTGTTTTGGTTTTTATTTTTACAAATGGCAAGCTAGATTTGCAGTCTGACCTCTTATATCTGTCTTGGTTTGGGGAGAACTAGAGTTTAAGTACTCTTGTTAGTCAGGTACTCTACCATTTGAGCCACACCCAGAGCCTTGCCCAATTAAATAGACTTCTTTCCCAAGTGTTTGCTTCAATTTTGTTATTGGTATAATTAATTTTAGAGTAATTATGGAATTATGTTTTTAAGATGTTGGAAATGGAGCTAGAGAGAAGTTAGAGCAGCTGGAAATCTCAAGACCTAAAGAAGGACACTGGTGTAGTCTCTTCCCTTTTCTTTTAACCTCCTTTAGCCATGTATTGTACGTTTGGAGCCACAGAAGCTAAATAATAGGTATTAGCTAAATAATAGGAGGAGAGCATTAAAGTAATACAGGAATTTAGAAAATAGCCGTTCCAAATTTGGCAGAAGTACACCTCAAAATTAAAGCAGTTAAGTAAATCCCAAATAGGATAAAACAAAAAAGGCATATCTTATGTAAAGTTCTAAAAATTAAAGACAAGGGAAAACTGTCTGGAAAGCAGTTATGGAGAAACAGTTTAATGACAGCAGATTCATTTATTGCAAATCTTAGAGATCCACTGTTTCAAGTGTTGAAAGAAAAGAACTGATACTTTTGGGAAAACATTCAAAGGTCTTAGGTCAGAGCTCTTTGTTTGGATTATGCTGTTAATGCAGATTTTATTTCATTGAATAATTCATCTCACTTGCACTCAAATGAAAATTTGTTCATTGATATTGACATAATATTAGAATATACTAAAGCTCAGAGTAAAAACACTATAACAAGAAAAATAATAACTGCCAATAGATTGTTCAGATAATACAGTATAAAGGGAATTGATTTAGCCACATGTAAATCTAACACACCAGAATGAACTCTCTCAGTCTTGTCACTGCTTGCTTCCCTTTTGCTGCAGTAGAATTGTGTTTTGGATGTGCACACTGAGAAGTGACAGGAACTGGAAGGTTGGTGGCATCTCAAGCTATTGGAAACCAAGGAGAGGTTTATTATATGCAGCCCTTAAACTAGAGTAAATTGTAGAATCAGGCTTAACTATGCTTCAAATTAGACAGCACAATTTGGGCAAAACAGTCACCAGCAATTGCTAAATACAAAGCATCTTGTTCATGAGTAGTATCTCTGATATCAGAAACTTCTATTTTCCTGTCCACAAAGTGGCCACAATGATACTTGATTTTGTGCTAAAACAGTATTTACCAATTTGCAAATAATGAGCTGGACCACTAAGCTGTGACTGATGTATTGAGCCATACCCATAACCCTCAGGTTCTGCTTCTTGGTAGAATTTTTAGAGCTTTGCTCTAATTAGTTTCTCTTCGCATCCTTCCTATTAATATAAACTTGCATTGTTGGTTTGGCTTTGACCTTATGCTTCCTTAAAACTACGCTTCATATAGCTCTTTCTATTTTAAGCACTACAGCTATTCTGAGGAGATACACTATGTGTATCCTTTTGATGATTTCTAACACATAAATAAAAGGTACCCATAGTTGTTTGATCTGGATTTTTGCCTAGCAAAATAATTGTATATTGTCTTGAAGTGTACATAGTTTCTTGTTTCACTTCTCTTAGTTTCCTGCTTCAGACTCACTTATTATTTGGAGTATTTAAGGAAATATTTATTTTTAGTTTTGTATAACAGTTTTTAAAACTATGAAAACAAAAGGGAAAATTGAATACCTAACTTAATGTACCAGCTCCTAGTTAAAACACAAGAGCATTAAAGATAATACATTATCTCATCCCTATTATAATAACTCATTGTTTATATGCAGATATTCCAGATTTCTCACTCACAATATCTGAAATCTGAAACATTTTTTTCCCAACAATTTTGCTCAACCTATACTTATTCCTATATGCCTATGGTTATTACTGTGTTCCTGGCATGTGACATCATCAGCATTTGTTGAATTAATAAACCAGTTAGAAATGTAGACAAAAGACAAACAGTTCATAAAAGGAAATATACAAATATCAGTAAATATTTTCAGTCTTATGCATAGCTAAGAAAAAACAGAATTTATAGTAGTCATGTTGAGAAATTTTTAAGATACGATGAAAATAATAATTTCTGAAAATAACAATATTAAATGTTCACTTGAGAACATGACTAGCATGAAAGAGGTATTCGATGAAAATATGATCCAACTATACTGTGGGATATTTTTTGCTATTAGAAGGAAAGAAGTGCATTCCGGCTTATTTTGTTTTTACAAAGGTGATTATAGCCAGGCACCAGTGGCTCATGCCTGTAATCCTAGCTACTCAGGAGACTGAGATCTGAGTGAGGATCCCAGTTCAAAGCCGACCTGGGCAAAGAAAGTCCATGAGACTCTTACCTCTAATTAATCACCAGAAAAACCAAAGTGGTGCTATGGCTCAAGTGGTAGAGTACTCGCCTTGAGCTGAATAGCTCAGGGACAGCTCCCAGGCCCTGAGTTCAAGCCCTATAACTGACTGTAGGTTGATACATACACATAAAGGCATAACAAAAGTACTTGAAGATTTTTTCTATACTGGTGATACTGGTTAGCTTTGTGGAGGGGATATTTTTTTAACTATATACTGGCAGTTTCTTATTTTTATGAGAGTATTTTATATTGGCTTTAAAATATGTATGAATTAAATTGATTAGGGACATAGAGAAATAGACCCATTATTTGTATATTGAACAAAAAAATCAAGGTTACCAATAGAACATGATTTAATCTAAAACAGTAAATATTTTCATATTATTAGAGCCTACAGTGTAAAACAAGAAAAATGAGATTAAAAATTATGTCAAGAGTAGATAATTGAGGAACTTACTTGTTTTTTTGCATGATGGAGCTCATAACAGTTTGGGGTTTTTAAAGCTGGGATTTGACATGGGTCTTGTATGGTTGAGCTCAACACCATTTCAGGTTTTTAAAACCAGTGTTTGACATTAGTAATACCAATAAAAAAATAATTCCAGGAGATACACATTTCACATAATGACAAGTTCACACAATGACAAGGATTAATTGCATCTGGATCGCTTTGGCAGGCTTGAGGAATCAGTAGCTTACGTTCTTAAAATTGTGTTATAGATACACAAATAGAAGATACCATAACGCCAATTACATTGGAATTCATCACAATATTAAATTTACATAATTCTATAGTTAAATTTTTTAAATAATGCAAATATTATTGGTCTCTGTTACTGCTCCAGTGTAGGAATTTGTCTTTATTGGATGAATTTTGTTTTATTTCAATGATAGTATGTTGGCTTAACTATCTTTCTTGTTATACAGGTTTTTGATTGGTCAAGGAGCTCATGTAGGGGCTGTTAACAGTGAAGGAGACACACCTTTAGATATCGCAGAGGAAGAGGCAATGGAAGAGCTACTTCAAAATGAAGTTAATCGGCAAGGTAATATAAAAACCAACCAAAATGAGAAAAAAAAAGTGTACCACTTAGATACTTTGACCTTTCCTGAAAAGTAAATATTGACATTGAAGAATGACCATAAAATTTAAGTGAAAAACATTCTAGCTTACTGAACAATAGGTACAGTGTGATTCTGTTTGAAACTTGTTCAATATTGTATCTTTTGACATTTGTTAAACTGAAAGAAATATCACAAGCGGTAGAATCAGTCAGTATTTGATTTTGGTATCCTATATATTGTGTATACGTTTACCTGAATTAGGGAAGGGAAGGGGAACAACAAAAATGCTGGAACAAAGGGCAAACCAGTGCAACAGTGATACTCACAAGACAACATGTTGGAAATGAACTTTACACTGGGGGGGCGGGGCGGATTACAGGAGCAGGAAAGTGGGAGAAAAACGAGGCGGGTAACAACGTTTGACAAGAAATGTACTCATTACCACTACCTTACATATGTAACTGTAACCTCTCTCTATATCACCTTGACAATAAAATTAAATTTTAAAAAATTATATGGGAATAAGAGTTTCAGTTAGGAAAGGGGATAGAAAGTACACAGGATGGGTGCAATTTAAATACTGCAAATTTAAGTACAGTGGCCAAGCAGGCCTCTTGGTAAAAGATCATTTAACTGAGATTTGAATGCAGAGAGGAAATGAGTCATTTAGTTCTGGGAAAAGAACATTCCAGATAGAGGAAGCAATGAATATAAGGATGGAAGGGTACCTGGTATATAAGCAGCAAGTAACTAGTATGACTGAAGCAAAAATAGCAGAGGAAGAGATTGCTAGGAGAGGATGTTATAGAAGTAGCAAGAGGTCATAATATATAAAGCCTTGTAAGCCTTTAATCCAAGTGAACCAGGCAGTCAGTACAGGTGTTGAGGCAGATGACTAACATGAATAGTATTGAAAAGAGTCTGGTTTTTGTATTCAGAATTCATTGTAGTAAGACAGAAGAAAAACAGTTAGAAAATAATTGTGATTAGATTAGTCATGATAGGACTAGACTGAAGTCATAGTAGCCTAAGTGATAAGAGGTTGGATTCTGGGTATATTTGAAGATTTGATCAAAATGATTGAGTTATTAGACCTAGGATATGTAAAAAAGAATAAGTTTTTAGTAAGAGCAACTAAATAAATGAAGTTTGTATTTGAGCTGTGAAGAGTGTGAGAAGAGTATGTTTTAGGGAAGTATCAGTGGGTCATTTGAGATTGCTTGGCATTCAAGCAGTTGAATATGTGAGTTTGAAAGACCTGAGAGATGGAGATGGAGATTTGGGAGATGTCACAGATCGAGAATGGTAAGTATAATTTCTCTTATGATTCATAAATATTTTGATATTAACTTTAATAACATTTGCACAATTCTGCAGAATATTACCATTGATTGCTACACCATAAACAGTATATAACTGTATCCTAATGAAATTATCTTTAAAATACACCTGGGCACAGAGATACAGGCCTATAATTCTAGCCAGGAATGCACTACAGTAGTTGCATCCATCCTCGACTTCAAGCAGGGATTTATCTGTAACCTCCAAATACTAGCCATAAAGGGAGTTAGAGAAATCTAGGAGTATATATAAAAAGAAAATGTGTATGATAGGATGAGTTCATAAAAATTATCAAGTTGGGAGTTAACTACAGGAACTCTTACCAAACCACAACTACCATAGACTTTTAAGACATTAATCCAATTTATGTACTTTAGATGTTGTTTCTGACTTTACCAAAGGATTGTTTGAAGTATGAATGGAAAGTATTGCTTTCCATGTGGCTGAAGAAAGGATACTCAATTGCCAATTTTGAGAGTGAAAGAAGGGGAGAAAGTCATACTATATATAGTGTAATGAATCAGAATTCCATGAGAACTCCATATTCAGAATCCAAACACAATTGTAGGAGACTTCGAGGCTCTACATTCAGTGGCTGTACTTCTGCTGCACTTTTTCCCTGTATTTTTATGAAAATATTTTTTAAATTTATTTTTATTATAAAGGTGATATACAGAGGGTTTACCTTTACATGAGTCAGGTAATAAGTGCATTTTCTTTCATACAATGTCAACTGTTAGCACTTGCCCTGTCCCTCCCTCCATCTCCACAGTGCCCAGTGAGCTCTACTGCTCTACTTTTTTTTACCCTTTTTCCTTGAGTTCTATTCCTCCTGACTCTCCCAAAGATATACAGAGGAATATATCATATATAAGGTAAAGAAGACGGAATCATTTGTTTCCATATTTTAGGAGTTTAAGTATGTGTGTTATTTTATATAAATATGAAGAGACACTTAGGGATTAGACCTTAGTGATTTTCTCCTAAGAGTGTCCTCTTTTGGTCTCACTGTATGTGAGTATTTAGAATCCTGTGTAATTTGACATATCCCAGTGCATTTTAGATCTGACTTCCACATATCAGAGAGAATATGTTCTGTTTGTCTCTCTGAGCTTGGTTTACCTCACTTAACATGATTTGTTCTAGTTCCATCCATTTCTCTGCAGATGACATTATTTATTCTTTCTAATGGCTGTGTAAAATTCCATAGTATATAGGCACCACATTTTTTGGATTCACTCATCTATTGTGGAGCATTTGGGCTATTTCCATATCTTGGTTATTATGAATAGCGCAGCAATGAACATGGATGTGTGGCTGTCCTTGTCATATCCTGATTCATGATGTGTTTAGGGTAGATGGCCTACAAGTGGTATGGCTGGATCGTAGGGAAGGTCTGTGTTTAGTTTTTTGAGGAACCTCCAGACTGCTTTCCAGAGTGGTTGTACTATTTTACATTCCTTCCAGCAGTATAGTGAGGGTTCCTTTTCCCCCATATCCCTGCCAGCTAATTACATTTTATTACAATCTTTTTTTTTTTTCCTCCTGGTCCTGGGGCTTGAACTCTAGGCCTGAGCCTCTTTGTGCTCAAGGCAAATGCTCTACCACTTCTGGCTTTTTTGAGTAGTTCATTGAAGATAAGAGTCTCATGGAGTTTCCTGCCCAGCCTAGCTTTGAACTGTGATCCTCAGATCTCAGCCTCCTGAGTAGCTAGGATACTATAGGCATGGGCCTGTAGAAATTTGTTCAACATTTCTGTTGGTTCACTGCAGGAGGTTTGAGCAGACTTTCATCAGATCCTTTATGTTGATTGACACCAACATAAACTATAGATTCAACCCAGTAACTGGTCCTACTATTGTCTGGGCAGGGAGTCTCTGAATCTAGGTCAACCCTCTACTGAACAAACAAGTTACTTTTTTTAAAAATTCATTTACTTATTCATTCACTATGCATTTAGTAAGCACTTACTGTCCCTTTACTTTGTTCCAAATACTCTGGCAGTAGTGGAAAAAAGAAAGGATCCTTAACCTTTAATAAACTCATGGTATTCTGGAGAAAGAGAGATTGTAAATGTATCATGATTTGTGTTATTAGTTTTCTAAGTAGCCATCAGTTGAAGTGATAAGATACCACTAGGTCATTTAGGAATTCTAGGACCATCATTACTAATTTATTTTACCCCAAAATGCAGAGCTTCTTGAAGGTAGAGGTACCCTCTTCATTTTTGTATTCTTTTTACTTTTATCACATCAACTTAGCATAGTGCTTGTAAATGATACTAAGAGTCTGGTAAATGAACATCTGCATAAATTATAAAAAATAATTCTGGTGGTATGAAGAATGTGCCGTGTTGGGAAAAGAAAGGAAATTTGGAGAGAGAGTTTAATATCTGTAACATTTTAGATGAATATAGGACCTTCCTAATCGAAGTGCTCAGTAAACACTTGTACCTCCTAGACTAGAGTTCAGAGAACAAGTCAAACAGAAGATCAAATTTGATTGTTACTCCCATATAATTTTTTTAAATAAAGTTTTAATTAAAAAAAATTCAAGGATACTATACCTTGGGAAATGTTCAAACTTAAAAAAATAGTAATCAGGAAAAGTGAAAAGAAAACAAAAGATTAAAATTGTAGAGACAGAAACTAAATGATCACAAGAGAAAACTAAAAATATCTACAGTATTCTCACATTATTTAAACGAGTTATAAGCACCTCATTTTCTAGAACTGGTTTTGCTTTTGGTTTTTCTTTAAACTTGAAATATTTTGGATAATTATTTGGAAAAATCATTTTCAATGTAGAAAAAAATGAAAATAGTTATTTTTGTTTTCTCAGGGGTTGATATAGAAGCAGCTCGAAAGGAAGAGGAACGGATAATGCTTAGAGATGCAAGGCAGTGGTTGAATAGTGGTCATATAAATGATATCCGACATGCAAAATCTGGAGGTACAGCACTCCATGTGGCAGCTGCCAAAGGCTACACGGAAGTATTAAAGTTAGTACTATTTTTTAGAGTTATTTTTCTACTTTAGTTTTTCTGTATGTCATAATTCTTTGTCTTAAAGTAAATTAAGGTTTTCATGCAGCTAATAAAGGAATTACTGTTTGCAGGAAGAAAGAGAAAGCCTATACTGCTTTTGTTTCTAAAGTTTGTCCTTTCAAATTTTCAGTTTTTGCTGGGCGCTGGTGGCTCACGCCTGTAATCCTAGCTACTCAGGAGGCTGAGATCTGAGGATCGCGGTTCAAAGCCAGCCTGGGCAGGAGAGACCGTGAGACTCCTATCTCCAATAAACCACCAGAAAACCGGAAGTGGCATTGTAGCTCAAGTGGTAGAGCGCTCGCCTTGAGCTGAA